AGAGAGAGAGAGAGAGAGAGAGAGAGAGAGAGAGAGAGAGAGAGAGAACCAAAGGACAATTAAGCATGGTTTCTTTTTTCTCTTGTGTGTCCTTTCTTTCTTTCCTGTCTTGATAACAACTGTTTTGGGGAGAAGAAAAATAAAGGTGAAAACTGCTCAAAAAGAGCAGAGACAAAATATTAAACCTCTTCTCTGTCCCACTCAAACATATAATGTCCATTAACTCTTTAAGTAGTACACATAACTTATTTTCCCCTTTTTTTCTAGCTAGTGTGACAATATGATTTATCTCATAAAAGCCTCCTGAAAGACCTCTGTGTGTATTGAAATATTACATAGGTATAGAGACTCATCTCATATAAGAAAGGAACCAGCCTAATATGGACATCGTTTTCTGGAATAAGGTACATTGATAGCTTATGCCCATGATGACTGGAATATGACTCTGTCTGGGGAGTATATGTGATTTTACAAAAGTTGCTCGGACTGATATGTATAGCCGCTCAGCTTCTTGCTAGGACACTATCATCATCTCTAAATTGTGAAGTGTTGCTATGCTCATATGTCTGCTATCACTGCAGGTCAGGCTGGTTTTCATTTTTGTATTATTGCCCTTGCTTTTCTAAGTGATATTACAGACTGCAGAAATGTCTGCAGCTAGAGGCCAGTCTCGCCTATTGTCTGGAGTCTAGACAGGCTATAGAAAAATCTCGGTGACATATAATAGGCTAAACAATTTGTAGGGTTGTTTATCCTTACAAATTCACCACGAGGAGAGGAAAGGGGGAATATACCATTTTATTGAGTGTAGGTAATGTTACAATCTTTAGCCCTTCTCTGAATGAGTGAAAACCAGGCTTCGGCGCCTGAACAATTCTTCTATATTGTTTGATCACACACAAAGCAATGGTTAGCTTAGACTTAGCAATGTCATTCAGACTAACTATCATTTTTTTCCTTAAGTGTTTCTGTAAAGTATCTTAATTTATTTTTGAGGTGAGGAGAGTCATTTCCGCTTCTCCTTGCTGATCTCTGTAGCTTTTCTGAAACCTCTGAAGACCGCATCTGTCAAGGCACCAGGTACTGACAGCAAAGACGAAGTCTTACAGTTGAGGCTTAACTGACTCTCACTTCTTAGACATGGTAGATATACCCTGGGCAGCTGCTGCCATTACTGTAATTCCTGTTATATCACTTTCTAGCCTGGAACTGACAGACTCTCAATGAACTTAGAATGATGGAATATGCTCCGACAGTGCCTTCCCAGACTTCTAATGGGACAAGCTGGCCTGTTGAGAATTAGAGGTCAAATCTAAGGTTGGTACATGGCTCATGAAAAGAAGAGCGTCTGAGCAGGAAGCAATTCAAATAGTAAGAAATATAGAGGAAGAGGAAACATGTATAGCATTGAGAACCAAATTGTTAGTAGGCTGTGCTACCACAATCAACATTCAAAATCAGTCCTCTGGTCCTCATTAGAGTTGAATTCCTCACCAGGGTCATGCTGGCCTTTGGAAAGCCTGGTAGAAAAAGATACAAACACTTCTAGATAACTCTTAAAATGTAGACTGTGTACCACTGAAAATGGTAGTTTCTAGAATTCTCAATGTTGATCTGCTTGCCTTGAGACCCCAGTAAACTGAAGAGATGTCTATCTGTGGGAAGCCCTCTCTCATCGTTTTTCCATTGCTGTTGGCTCGAGACTTCTGTAAGACTAGAGGAAGAAGGCAGCTGCTATCTTTTGCAGAGATCTTGTTCTACATGTAAAGTCAGCTACACTGGTGTGTGACTGACACGGTTTCACAGGCTCTGAGCTGAGCCCAATGTCCTATTGTCATTGTCTGGCCCTAGGTAAACCATTGTCAGTAAGAGGCTCCCGTATATTGCTTTGTAATATGCCCTGCATGTTATGTGGCCTGTTCTGTCCCTAAGAAAATTGACAGTAAAACAAATAAGAAATAAAATATGTAGGCCCTGACCTGGATCATTGGGAAAAACAAAGATAAATCTCTAGAAATGTGATTCAACAGAGTGTGCACCGTCACGCTGTTACCTACTTATTAAATTACGAGATTCTAGATTATAAACCTTAGATGGCTTAAGCCAAGGTGGGGTTCTATGACACCTCCCCAAAATCTCATTCCTCTCCTATCATAATTTAAGATATATGTATTTTTTTGGAAATTTCTTTTATAATTCTTGCTTCATTAGATGAAACCGGGTGGGACAAATTGATACTATTCTTGCCATTGTAACTTCCCATCAACACCTTTGGAGACAACTCCGTTTCAGTCCAGGTAAGAAGGCTACTGCACAGAGGGACTCTGGTGTCACCAGTTGCTTCATGTACCTCTTCTACCCCAGCTGAGGCTGCAGCTGCGCTGGGAGTCCCAGCTCAAAGCCCCAATGATAGTGTCCTTCTCTATTACGTACAATTATTCTTAGGATGAGAGAGGTGGCTCAGATCCAGATACTGATGCAACTTATTAGGGACTTGTGAAGAAGTAAACAGAGGGTTAGGCGCTCACTTAAATCAACAAGTTGACTTTGTCTACCCAACCCCCACCTTCTTTACTTTTTGTTACATTTAAACAGCAAAAGTGTGAGTAATCTCTCAGGGCCTGTAACTCAGGGAAGTAAAACATAAAACAGGCATGTTTTCAGGAAGGCTCCTTGATGCTGTGTTTGTATAGCACACATTCTTGCTTGTTTGATTTCAGCATTGTGTCTGGAAATCTATTGCGCTTATTTATTTTCACAGATAGGGGCCTATTTCCTTCACAGAACAGGTGTTTAACTTCCATTAGTATAAATAGAAGCTACACAAATCCAGTGTAAGACAAAGAGCCCCCCCCCTTTTACTATTTGGTTGTAATTTTTATTCTATTTGTGCTTTCAAAAATCACTTAAAAAGAAAGTGGCTGCATGTATCATTTAAAATTTCTGCAATCTAAAATAAAGGGCTGAAGAGCCAGCTCAGCTGTTAAGGATGCTCTTCCAGAGGACCTGAGTTCAGTGCTGGGCTTCATCTGGTCACCACTACATGGAACTCTGGAGGATATGACACCCTCTCCAGGCCTCTTAGAGTAACTGCATGCGCACACACACATACACACACGCGCACACACACAAATAAAAGAAAAAAATAGATCCATTTTTTAAAAAATGAGCCTAGCCTTTGACTCCGATTTGAGAAATTTGTACAGTACAAGATGCATGACGCTCACACTGTGCGGTCTCACTCAGCTAATTAGAACATGAGTGAAATAACAAGCCACAACTAAAGCCTAAGTATAACTTCAGATGTATTTAGATCAGAATACACTCATAGAACTCTGTTGAGAACTTCTGGCTTGTTTGTTTGTTTGTTTGTTTGTTTGTTTCAAATGATATGGGAATGCACATACCTTAAAGATTTAAAACTAAAAATTCCTTAGCTACCATACTTCCTTTTCTGACC